AAAAAAAAAAGGGGGGGGGGGGGAGTGTCAATGAAAAAAGTATCTTCTAGTAATCTCCACATTTCCTGAGGAACAGAAGGTTGGCATCTATGTTTACAGTACCAACCACATGCAAAAACCCCTAGTTCAATCACTACATGTATAAACCTTAAAAGTCTCATTATGCTTATAAAATGTGGAACACCAAAACTAAAAAAGATAGAGATTACCTCCTCCCTTTGTAGGTGTTCTGTGAAGAAAAGGATGTAACTAGTTTTTTTCCTTATAAAAGAATGCTCAGGAACAAGCTGGGAGGATGGGGTTCCTGTTTCAGAAAATCTTCCGTGAAATTATTTCTACAATTTTCCTAATGGCTCTGATCATGATCACTAAGATAACCCTGGTTACGTAGCAACTGGATTCTCAAGCCTGTATCTCACAGAGAACCATTACAGCTAAATCAGAAACATGGGACAGCAAACAGCATTAAAAGTTGAGGGATATAAAAAAAAAAAGTAATCAAGTCTACATACGCCTCCAGTTCTTGTTTCATTTTGGTGAATTCTTCTTTAGTCATTGATCCTTCCCCTTCTCCAAGTTTCTGCAATTTCTCCCTTGAGGCATCAAAGTCAGGCCTGGGTGGTGCCGGTGGAATCTGGAATTGAATCAAATTTTTTTTAATTGCTCATCTTCTCAAACAACATCCGTTCAGTACAGGAACTGTAGATTGCCTGCAGCTTTTTAATATATGGCTCTCTTTCATCATTCATTACAGCATTTATGGATAAAGTCTCTCATTCATGAGTTAGACATGCTGCATTACTGTACCAATTTTGGCCAAGTGTCCTTGAAGATTACTAAAATATTAACTAATGGCTTCAGTAGTTTAATTACAACAGAAACCAAATAATACCTAGCTTTCCCATGACAATGAATCAAAACTTGAAATCATTATTTTATAATTAGTTTTGTTTTAACTTATTTGGTAAGGATTATTTCTTGTTTAAAGAAAAAAGAATTCCACAATGGTTTTCTCACCATCCATTTATAAATCCCCAAAACTTTAAACCAAAAAAACCATTCCATATTGTTTGCAGGCACTAGTTTTTTCTTACAGCACTGTTGACATTAAAGATACATCTGTTGAAATAACAAAGCACACAGTAAACAAGTCTCTAGGTTAATCTTGTAATATAGTGTATTAACATTGGAAGAAAAAACACCACAGTCAAACTAATCCTGAATTGCTATCAGTAAATGGACACAGAACAAAGCTAAACTATGCTTAAATTTTAGTTCACCGATATTTGCCCATTACATTAATGCGTTACAAAAAAGAAAAATCCAGCATCTACGCAGTCAACTGTCTGAAACTAGTTATTACCACACTGAAGGTCTAGTCACTTCAAATAGTTTTTCTCACTAAAAAAGACTAGCTCAAGAATGGTATGATACATCACAGATTATATTCATCATTATAATAGTCAATGAGAAATATACGTTTACCTTCTAAACCACAGTATATACACACCCAAAACACAAAATGAATACCTAACTTTCACACCAAGATGACAAATATTCCTATTTGTAATTAAAGTATGAACAGCAGCACCCATTTTTAATAGGCAGTATTGCAAGGTGACTATTTCGGGACCTCTGTTCCCCGGAGGCCTGAAATGAACTTCAAAACACAAGTTGTTGTGTATTAAGGTTCTCTGTAGTTCTAGGTGGTATTTGGGGGGGTGGGGCGGTGTCCCCTCCAACTGATTTACGGTAAAATTATTCTGATCTTCACAATGAAAACTGGAAAAGTCTAATTACTAGAGCTCAGTTACTGCACTCTGCCATTCCAGCTAAAACAAAGGCAACATGAAACTTGTAACGAAGTTAAACATAAGCTTGTAAAAACAATACCACCAAGTTATACAGTTCACCTATCTCCCACACTTTTAACACAGTGGACTAAAAATACACTTGGATACAGTTTAAACTACTCAATCCATAGGAGTGAAAGGCAAGAAAGTACAGCAACTACAGTTACTTTCCTGCAAGCTTGCTTCAACCATTAATTTTGTGTAACTGCATAAAATGAAGTATTAGAGCTTCCGATTTGATTTAGAAGGAATGAACATCTGCTATTTCCATTGCATTTAAAAGCAGTCACAAGTACTTTTGATACAGCCCACAGAAAACAGTGCACATAAACCAAAAAAACTGTTAATACTTACAATATAGCCAGCATAGTCCTCATTCTCAACAAAAGAATCATGAAGCCAAATAAACTCTTCATGTTGCCGGACAACAGAAAATTCATTTTGTTTGAAATTCGGTAAGGAACTCTAGAAGGGGAAAAGGAGGAAGAATTATGAAAAGAAAAAAAAAAAAAAAACAAACCAAAAAACAACCAACCAAACAAAACATATCAAAGAAACCCACAGCGTTTTCTTTACTATATGAAAAACACCTTGAAGTAACAACAAAAACATCCCTGTAAAAATAAACCAATCATCCAAGTGAGGATTTGACCAAAAAGAAGTTTGCACAGCAATAGTTACCCCTGTCTTAATTAGTGCATCAATCAATTGGAATGGGTTGCCCAAAGAGGCTGTGAAGTCTCCGCCCTTGGAGATATTCAAAACCCAAAGGGACAAGTCCTGAGCAATGTGCTCTGGTTCACCCTGATTTAATGGTGGGAATGAGGGAGGAGATGGGACTAAATTATCTCCAGAAATTTTATTCGAGCTCAACTTTCTATGATTCTGAGATTTATAAACACTCAAATCTAAAAAAAAGAAGAAAAGCCATAAACAACCAGTACCTAAAAATTATTCTTGCATGTAACTCCATTATGAAATACATTTTTAGAATCTAAAACCATGACTAATATAATACAAAATATACTGAAGAATAGTGAGGTATATTAAAGATTCTACCTGCAAATAGGCCAATTAATAAGCATGGGAATGGCATGACAACACATCAGTACGAAAAAACTGAACGTCAGTTTTTTCTAAACAGTTTTTTAACCTCTTAACTTTTTAGCCATCTTTTTCTTAAGCACTGCAGCTACACAGTCTCTTAAACATGAGATACCACTACTTTCTGATTTCCTTTGGATTGTGTTACACTTGTTTCAATAAACAGTTTAAGCAAACTTTGTTTTCTATATAGTTAAGAATATGTTCAGTGTACAAACCCAGGCTTTTACCTTTGTATGGACAGTGAATTTCACTTTGTCCCTCTCACTGAGTGCATCTGAGATATCCACTTGCAGAGCAGCATCAGTCTGGAGATCTACATTTATTGCTCTAAGCTAAACAAAGAAAAATCTATTTAGCTTAAATTTAAAAAAAAAAAAAAAGAGTTAATATATTTCCTTATTCTCCCCTTGAGAAGAACCCTGATCCTGCAATTCTCAATATCCTTAAAAGACTGAAGACAGATTATTAAAAACCCCAACATTAAAAGATTATTTCCAGTGGAAAAAGAAATTCCAGTCGTACTCCTTACGGCACACATGACCATACAAATAATTTCCTTTACTGTACTGCTTGTTAGTGCACTATTTTCATTTCTGTGTATTGTTAACTTGCTAGTAATTGAGATGGGCAAGACAAAGTACATTTACAGGCAGCAACAAGTTCAGTAGGTCCTTCTCTTCATTTCACCCGCTCCCCCAAACTGACAACCTGCTGTAAATAAATGTACTTGTAAAGGTAATTATAAAGGTACTAAGAGTTGAAAAGGTACTTTTAAGGAGAAAAGCAGTCTTATACTTCAAAGAAGCAAGAACTATTAAAAACCTGGTTTACTCACATTGTCTTACACTATTCTTTTGTTTAACATTTCCCATGATATACCGAAAAAGCAAACAAAAAAAAAAAATCCTGAACTTCACAGACCTGACTCCTTGGAAATATTTTTCTGGAAAAAAAAAAAAAAAAAACAAACCAGACCAAAACAAAAACCCAAACCCAATATTTCAACCTGTTCAAAATCAGCACAAGAAATGGCAAAAGTGCAAGGAATACGCATTTTTTTTCCACAAGACGTGAAACCTGAACTCTCTCACAAAATAATCCCAAAGTCACATTGAAAAGAAAATGAGACAACAATCAAATATAGAAAAATTGGAAGATTATCCGAGTACCACAATGTTTGGCAGTAACTGGACCAAAGGCTTCAACAGTACTTGATGAAACTAAGCTCATCTAGACCCCAACTGGAAATTCAAGTCCCCTCACCCTTGCACCCTTGTTGTTCTAGAGCAATTTGTCCCATGACAATTTCATCATCATGATCAACAGACATTCAGAATATTTTTTACAAGTACTAAGGCTAACTCTGAAATCTTCTCCAATCACATTGTCAAAAAATATTTCAATGTCATACTCATGAGGCTTACTTTTTACTGAGAGGCTGTTTTCTTTGATGCTGCATTTTTTCTAGAAATACCACATTCTACAGTATAAAACTGCTTTGCCATACAAAGATACAGACTTTTTCCTGCCAAATTTTTCAGGACTGCATTTTGAAATCCATACTCAAGTACAAAAATACTTTTAAGTATCACCAACACACAGTACAAAGGTTATACATGAGCAGACTTTGAAGGTAACACTGCAAGGCACCGGAACAGCACTAGGAGAGAAGCATCAACCGCCACATCTTGTTTTCTGCCAGTTATCTTAATCCTTACCTTAAATCATAGTGGTCAGCTCCCACTCTAGTTTTAACCTCAATGCATGGACAATTCTGCTGCTTATGTAGCAGCAACCAGATTAATACATCTTAGAAATAATGTGTTAAAGTACACCAAAATCATACACTAACATATTCTGCTAGGGTAGCAAAATCTAACAGTTCAATAGCTATTACACAAATAGCAATAGCTTTTCCTTACAGCAAAGTTGGAAATCATTAAAACCACTGCACAGTAACATATTCACAGATGTGATTCAGGCATCGCTTTTTGTTTTGTTTTCCTAAGGTTTAGGGGATCACTGCCTCACACAAAGGCATATTATCATGCAACAATCCATTGCAGATCACTTCTCAGAGGCAGAATCTCATAGCTCCTACTGAGTTTCCAATGTGCTTAACTTCTAATTTAGGAAAGAAAAATATAATCTGACATACCAATGTCTGCCTTATGTCATGACACCACATTTTTCAGCTTGTAAAAAAGTTTTTAGTGGTTACCCTGCCTGGGGTACTGTTTGTTTTTCTCCAGTCCCCCAGAATACATTAACAAACAGAGTAATCTCAGCAAATAATCTGGATTATCCAAATGGTATTTTTGCAGTCTTTCACAGGTCACAAAAATTGCTACTAAAATATTTCTTTTCCCTCCTTTTTTAAAAAGTGGTACAATACAAAATTCTAAGATTCAGTACAACAGCTGTTCAAATTTGTGACTAGTGCATATGCAGTCTCTAGTGCAGCACACCCTGGCTGTATGCACTATTCACAACTTTAGAAACAAAATGCTTATCTGTGCTGAGAAAATTAAGAACTACCTAAATGTGACAACATCACTCATGACATAACTGTAAAAGACTATTTGTTTGATTTATACTGAGTTAAGTTTGTAACAGTTTTGAAGAGTTTAATCATATGTTAAATTATGCTGTGTAGCTTGACTACCAACGGGGAACATTTTCATCTGCAATGGTAATGAAGCATTTATGAAAGGTGTCAAAGACAATCAGAAAGTTGAAGGACTTTAAATGTATCCATGTGACACAATGGTTCACGTTGCATTACTGGGAATTAAATTCACAACATCACACAACAAACTTAAGCAATCACTTCATCACTACTTCCAAAAGAAAACCACCACCAATTGATGGTTTCCTAGTCATGAAGGGAGTAGAAAATGAAAAAAAAAAAAAGCTACAAAACCTGATTTGGATGAGAAGTCTGATTTGGAAGAAAACTGAAACGTAAGTGCCTTAAATTCTGAAAAAAATGGAGGTGGGATACAGTCCCTTTGTACCTTGCCCCCCCTCTCCCCAATCTAAAACATGCCACATAGCACAATAATTTTATGCTTAGATACATGCTCTACACCCATACCAAACAACTTGCAAAACAAAACCTAATTTAATTTAGCTGCTTTACAGTTTCCTGTGCTATACCAAGAAAGTCCCTGTTTTATTCAAACGATCTAGAAAATACCAGAAGCCAAAATCAGGGCTAAGTGATGTTACAGTACTAAAAGAGAACACAATGCAAGTAGAGGATTTAGCACCTAAGCTCTTGCTCAAGGATCAGTTATACTTCAAATGATAATGGAAGGAAGCTGGTAGAGACAAGGGAAACAACCAAACCTTACATTGCCGGGTAATGTCATCAAGTTAACAACAGTAACTTCTATGCTCTAAGCTCTTTCAAAAATGTTAGAGAAAAGGACCCTTTCTTCGGCATGTTCTTTACAGGCAGATAAATACACAGAGCAAGGGAAACAAACAATACTTTTACAACAAAAGATTACAAAGTGTCTTCACAGCATTGAGTTTCTAGCAGACCTGTTCTAAGGGATAGCTCATTTCCCCTAAATGAGGAGACAAGAGCATTAGCCAAGTCGGCTAAAGTTTATAAAGATATAAAATACACAAGACAATACTAGTAGAGCAATACTATACCACCTTTCAAAGCGGGTATTGTTTACATTAGTGAGAGCACAAAAAAGCCCAACAGGAATCAACTTACTCCAAGCAAACTCAATAGTACCTTCCTAAGTGAGATTTAGAAAAGCAATTCCCCTAAGTTCATTTTATGCACACCATTTATAATAAGTTCCTTCTACAGACCACCCACTGCTACTTCCTCAAAGATGATTCTCAGTGCTTTGTTTTACAATTCTCCGGAAAAGGCTCCATATGGTATAACACAATTGTTTGAGAATTACTGTTCTATGTGGCATCGACATAATTTCCAGCCCACTTTTCCATCCCATCACCCCCATGTTAAACTTAACACAGCTGCAGCTGACCAACATGACTCTGAAGAGTTAAAAGTACAGTTGTCATAGCTATATCTCAATTCTAGAGAGGAAAGAGTACTGATTTGCAAAACTAAAAGCTCAATTACTCTAACCAGAAGTTGCCATCCATGCTCTCAAATAAAGGCTGGACCTACTACTCGTTTTTTAATCACAAACAGAGGAAGGCGACAAATCAGAACCAGGAAAACACTTTATGAAAAGCTGTTTATTTTTACTACTGCTACTAAGAAAAAAGTTATGGTTTTGAGGATTAAAGCATAGCAAATCTGTCCATGAGCAGACTGCCAGTGTTGCTTTTGATTAGATTTTCTGTACCACAATCAAAATCAGGCAGATAACCTATGTTTTAACCCCAGGAATTCACACACCAGTGAAAGAAATAAAACTCCAGTGTGACTGAAAATAAGAAACCTAAAAAAATTAGGGAAAGGAGGAGGACACTGTTCTGGTTTAATTCCTCAGTGCTGGATGAAGATGGGGGAGGGGAAGGAAAAAAAAAAAAAAAGACTGCACTTGGCCAACTGAGATGATGTAAGTTGTCCAACAGCACAAACAAGACTGCTAAGAGATTTCTTAAGGCTTTCAAATTACCCTGTGAACTCTGACTACCTGTAGCCTTAGAGGGAAAACTAATAACCAAACAAACAAACAAGTTTCACACGGGATCAGATTTGCATTGTTATATTCTACCCGCACCTTCAGATAAAGACAACTTATCTGTGCACTTCATACCAGGGACGACCTGTGTAAAATACAACTCCATAATTAACAAGCTCTTCGGTCCTTGTTCTGAAGACACTCAAAGGACAACAGTTTCCACCTTCTCTCTTTTTCATCCAGTATTCTTACTAAAGTAGCTGTATAATTAAAGGGAAAAGCTCTACAGTGGCCAGAATTGGCCTAATACAATACTAGAATTCTTTCTTTAATTTCAGGTCATAAACCGGAATATAAAACACACTGAATTCCTACCACCTGCATACAGGCAAAAATCGCTTAGTACTTACTGTTATATTTGACACTTGAGTATGGCATGCATTACAAAAGGGTATAACAACCCAGTGTTTTTCAGATTTTGTATTTTTAATAATATACTGGATGTAGCCACTTTAATAACCAGCATCAGCCAAGGCAACCTAAGCAACCCAGAAGCTGCTCTCCTACCTTGCTCGGAGTCAGTCTTTCTCAAGGTATAACCAATAAGGGTAATCGGTCTGAATAAGTTATACACACTAGATTAGCTGATTTGCTGCTCAAGTGAGGCAGGCAAGTTAAAGAAAGATGGATGCAGCAGTTAGAAGAGAAAGGAAGGCCAGAAACTGCAGGGCAGAGAAAAAGGTTTTCTCAGTAAGGAAACATAATCATGGCATCCTGTCCCACCAACAGAACTTCTTTTCAATAAAGAGTTTACTACGCAGCGTGCGCCTGCAACCTAAACGTCCCATTGTTATCTATGGGAGAGCCTCTAGGGCCTAAAGAGAGAAGAGAGGGCAGGACTATTTCACCTAGGCCCTGGCTCACGATTAAAGATGGAACCTGGCGCTCTCCACCAGGCTGGTCAACCTGGTCAGGACCGCAGCACAACGGGGGCGTGCGCAGGGGAGGGGGGGCGCGTATCGGCGCAGAGCAGAATACCAACCTCTAGCAGCACATACAGCCCCCTCGCAAGCCATTCCAACAAAAGCACGAAAGAGCGGCCCTTCCGAAACTTGGGTGACAGAACAATGAAAAATTCAAGGCAAAACACGCGCACGCAGAGACCAGTTCCAGAGGGGGGCTCTGCTCCCTCCTCATTAGCGGACGCCGGCAG